TATAATAGATATGAGAAACCTCAACATTTAAAATAAAACTATTCCACAAGTTTTACCATTTTAAAAACATAATGATAAATAGTTTTCAACAGTGATGGGCATCCCACCCAGTTCAATTGCTTTTCCCCCAGTTTTCCCACTTAGTAAAATTACAACACAGCTGTGTTGAATGGTTTGCCTATTTTTGTCCATGAATCACTTTTTTTTATATCCTTAAGAATTATCTTCAGACTCATCACCTAATTTACTTTTATTTTTGGCTTTATTTGCAAATCACTCTAGCACATAGTGATACATGTGTTTACAAATCCCCCTTATTATTTATTATCTTTTAACAATATCTTGTTCATGATCTGTCCATTTAAAAAGAAACTCCTTGTCATTGTAATTGATTCCTGATTATTCTGTGCTTAGCCATTTAAATTTAAATTTTTAATTTGCTTTATATCTATTATGTAGTATATTAGGCAAGACTTCTTAATTACTTTGTTTTACCAACTTATCGTCAAAGGAGGGCAGAAAAAAAATGTTTTCTTATTTTCAAATGTGGCAAAGACAAGCCAGACCAGTCACTCGTCCCAAATCCTTTTTCAGAGAAAATGGCTAAAACAAGCTAAAATGTCAAAATGTTTTAAATCTATTTTATTACACTAAACTAACCTTTACATATCTATTAATGTCATGCTATGCTGTATTTTCCCCATTTTCAATGTTAAGACAATAATTCATATTGATTTGGTGATGGTTTCTCTGCCTTAGAAATGCCCAAATGTTTGGAGGCAGCTTAGCTCAGTCGGCTAATCTGGTGGTGGCCACTGTGTGTATGCACGAAGATCTTAGGTCCCTGGTTCAATTCCCATTGCTGCCTCTCCTTGTGTTTCAGCTGGAGGGCTGAAATACAAGTTACGATAGCGCACCGTCTTTCGGATGAGACGTTTAAGCCGTTGGTCCCGTGTGCAATATGGCCCATGTGCATGTTAAAGAACACAGTACACTTTTCGAAAAAGTGTAGGGAATTGTCTCCCAGTGTCTTTTCTTGGGTTATCCTTGATGTGATTCATACCGAAATACTTATCTTATCAAAATCTTAAACTTTGAAGGCCAATTTCTCAAATATTGTTCTTCAAACAGCTGTATGTTTAAACTCCTGTAGCTTTATAAATGTCGGATTTAAATAATTCTTTTACTATTTTACTGCTCTCATTTTAGTGTTAAACCCTGTATTAATAACTAAAAATTGATTTTTGCAACGAGTGACTGGTTTTGCTTGTCTTTGCCACAAACAGTTTAACATCCAGATGAAGGAGAAAATAAAATTATATTGTTATAATATTAATAAGATAATATATTTAAATTGTGTTATACTTTAAACCTTAAAAATGGTAAATATTTAACATTTGAGGTAGAATAAACATAAAAAATAATATAGGGGTCACATTGCAATGCAAAATACCATTTTTGGGAATGAGTATCAGAAGGATTTACCTGCAAACTATTTTCATTTACAAAACTATTCAATTTTTTCTATTTATTTAACTTGAGAGCTTTATCGTATGATCACTTGAAAACAATGGCATAGTCCAATATTACATTTTTATAAAATAAAATACTATTCAAAAATCAAGTTCACATCATTCCATATATACTTTCCAGTTTTTCTTCTTTTGTAGTTCACTATGATTCTTTTTATGGCATCATAAGTGATGACATTGAATGGGAGAGTCAGATAGTGGTGGACCTAACACAAAGAAGACCAGATTTAAAGTTTAATATCCTCAAACATTGGAGGTTGAGCAGACCTGAAACTATTAATGATTTAATAGCAAGAAGCAGGAAAGTAATCATTGCATTTTCACCAAAACCATTGACTGAATATTCTAAGTATGCTGCACACAGTGTTGTTGTAAAAATGCTGGAAGCAAAAATACTTGATGATGCTAAGATAATACCAGTCAAAATTTCAGAAAATTTTGTTGTACCTCCTATGTTTGAATCATTTACTTTCATCAGTGCCAGTGAAGAAAATTTTGTTGACAAAGTTCTGCAAGACTTAGTTGAATGTGGTAGGTATTAACAGCCCTGCCTGGTATTATTATTTACAGCCATTTGTTTGTAGCAGAATTATGCAAAAACTAATGAATGGATCATCATAACATTTAGTGGAGCAGTCATAATTGTCTGAGGGAGAGGTGGTGATTTAATTTTGGAATGAAAGATCAAGACCAATCTGTTATTACAGAAAGTCAATAAACTCATGTATTAAAAACAGAGGTATGTACTGTTATCGAGTGATGGCTCTGTATATTCATTTTTGCCTCCTACAGTATGCCATACATATTAAAATAGACAATTTAATGCGGGTTATATTTAGAGCATTCATTTACATATGAAGCTATTTATGGTCTTCAAAAAGAATAATACACAATCTAGTGATAATATATGATGGAAAAGGTGACAATGACAAAGAAATAAAAGAATATGAATGCTGGTAAATGGCATTGTAAAAATGATATGATTTGTAGTATTAGGATTAAAATATTATTTGTAGACTAAGAATTTCAATTATTAATCATTCAAAAACTGCTTTATTCACTTGAAAAGAGGAGACAGAAAGTGTCACACCTGATGTGCCATCCCCTACAGCCCTTGAAGGAACATCTGAAGAACTGTCAAGTGATGAACACAAGACACATCTAGTGGGAACAAGTGAAAGTGAGTCTAGTTATTTCACTATTACAGTAGTTGATGTAGCTCTTAACAGCAACAGCATAAATATTAATTGGAATATTAAAAATAAAAAATATTATTTGTAAACTTGAGAACTTCAGTTATTAATTATTCAAAAATTACTTTATTCACTAAAAAATGAAAACACACAATGTATCACACCTGATGTACCATCCCTTACAGCCCTTCCAGGAAGATCTGAAGAACTGTCAAGTGATAAACATGAGACACAGCTAGTGGGACCAAGTGAAAGTGAGTTTAGTTATTTAACTTTTATAGTTGTTATTGTTGTTGCTCTTTTAGTAACAGTAGAAGAATAAAACAAACATCCTTATAATTTTCACCTATAATAAAAAAAGTGACGTGCCTGATGTGCCATCCATTATGACCCCTGAAGAAACATCTGAAGAATTGTCAAATACCAAACACATGTATTTACAAAAATAAATAACATTTAGTTTGACAGGTCATCTGAGAAGAACACGAAAACCATATGAATATGATGATGGTTATGATGAAGATAATGTTAATGATAATGACCTTGTGAATATCTGAACAAAAAAAGATGATTACTTTTCTTGACATGACAGGATTTCCTTGGCCAATTACTGAACTGGAATCCCGTAGCTGGGTTGATAGGAGCATTTGGAAAGCCATTGTTAACTATTATTTATATGCATCTCGCTATTGTCTTGAGTACATCATTTTTCTTCAGGTATTGGACATTTAGTCGGGTTGGTCATGATCATGCTTGCTGATGATAGGAGGAACATAGAGATTGTTTCTTCAGTAGTACCATTGGGTTTGGTTGGGTTGGATGATGCTGTGTTTGATGGGCATTGATATACAAGAGCTTTGGTTGGAATCAAATTGGTCTGAGACAGGTGTTGTTCTCAACTTGGTTTGGTCATCTGAAATATTGAATTCATATGGACAATAAATTATTGTTCAATTTTCATAATAAATTTATTATACACTGTGTTATTTAGAAATAGAATTTTAAAACAATGACGAGTGATCTTATCAAGTTTGTTAAAGTTATCTTAAGCTAATCTAATGAGACTCCTACCAGTCCAAGAAGAAGCAGGTCTTCGGAATTCAAATTATCTTTGATTTCATTGACCAAAATGCCCCTTTTCAGTACTTTTTTTCTGACTTGTAACATTTCTTATGTTGAGATTAAGTACCCTAGGCCTGCTTAGTACTGCAACTGCCATCATCAGCTGCTCTATGTAATCATCATCTATGTTATAAACTTTCGAACAGTACTGTAGGATC